CCCGCCCTCCTCCTCTAACCGAAAGAAAAGACTCTGCGGTGTGTTGATAAGGTAAGGCTTTTCTTTTTCTTTTTTTTATTGTGTGCTGGTAAGTAGAGTGATTGGTAAAAATTCTTTCATTTCATTTATCTATTATTTGATGTTATAGTAGGACTCAGCTAAGCTTAAGAGTAAAAATGGCAGGAGATCCCAGACCCATGTTATGCTCCTCTTGCTCAATGTGGGAGCTCAGGGACGCGGCTGATGTCCCTGACTCCTATACGTGCAAGAAGTGTGTCCAGCTGCAGCTCTTGTTATACTGCATGACAGCTCTGGAGCTGCGGATGGACTCAATCTGGAGCATCCGCGATGCTGAGGAAGTCGTGGATAGCACGTTTAGCAAATTGGTCACACCGCAGATTAGGATTGCTGAGGGAGAAAGGAAATGGGTGACCAAAAGGTAGAAAAAAAGCAGGAGGGCAGTGCAGGTGTCCCCTGTGGTCATCTCCCTCCAAAACAGGTATACTGTTTTGGATACTGTTGGGGGAGATGGCTCACCAGGGGAAGGCAGCAGTAGCCAGGTTCATGGCACCGTGGCTGGCTCTGCTGTACAGAAGGGCAGGAAAAAGAGTGGAAGGGCTATAGTCATAGGGGATTCAATTGTAATGGGAGTAGATAGGCAGTTCTGTGGTTGAAAACGAGACTCCCGAATGGTATATTTCCTCCCAGGTGCACGGGTCAGGGATGTCTCAGATCAACTGCAGGACATTCTGTAGGGGGAGGGTGAACAGCCAGCTGTCGTGGTGCATATAGGCACCAATGATATAGGTAATAAACAGGATGAGGTCCTACAAGCAGAATTTAGGGAGCCAAGTTAAAAAGTAGGACCTCAGAGGTAGTAATCTCAGGATTGCTACCAGTGCCACGTGCTAGTCAGAGTAGAAATGAAAGAATAGGCAGGATAAATGTGTGGCTTGAGAGATGGTGCGGGAGGGAGGGGTTCAGATTTTTGGGACATTGGGACCGGTTCTGGGGGCGGTGGGACTATTACAAATCAGACGGTCTACACCTGGGCAGGGCTGGAACCAATGTCCTAGGGGGTGCTTTTGCTAACATTGTTAGGGAGGGTTTAAACTAACGTGGCAGGGGGACGGGAACCAAATGAGGAGGTTAGTGGACAGTAAGGAGGTAGTAACTAAAGCCTGTAAGGAACTAGATAATGAAGTCAGTGTAACTAAGGGGAAGAGTAGGCAGAGAGCAGATAATGAACGCAAAGGGACAGGTGGTCTGAGGTGCATTTGTTTTAATGCGAGAAGTGTAGTAGGTAAGGCAGATGAACTTAGGGCTTGGATTAGTACCTGGGAGTATGATGTTATTGCTATTACTGAGACTTGGTTGAGGGAAGGGCAAGATTGGCAACTAAATATCCCAGGATATAGATGCTTCAGGCAGGATAGAGAGGGAGGTAAAAGGGGTGGAGGAGTTGCATTACTGGTCAAAGAGGATATCACAGCTGTGCTGAAGGACGGCACTATGGAGGACTCGAGCAGTGAGGCAATATGGGCAGAGCTCAGAAATAGGAAGGGTGCGGTAACAATGTTGGGGCTGTACTACAGGCCTCCCAACAGCGAACGTGAGATAGAGGTACAAATATGTAGACAGATTATGGAAAGATGTAGGAAAAACAGAGTGGTGGTGATGGGAGATTTTAATTTTCCCAACATTGACTGGGATTCACTTAGTATTAGGAGTTTAGATGGAGCGGAATTTGTAAGGAGAATCCAGGAGGGTTTTATAGAGCAGTATGTAAATAATCCAACTCGGGAAGGGGCCACACTGAACCTGGTGTTGGGGAATGAGCCCGGCCAGGTGGTTGAAGTTTCAGTAGGGGATTACTTTGGGAATAGTGATCACAATTCCGTAAGTTTTAGAATACTCATGGACAAAGATGAGAATGGTCCTAAAGGAAGAGTGCTAAATTGAGGGAAGGCCAACTATAGCAAAATTCGGCAGGAGCTGGGGAATGTGGATTGGGAGCAGCTATTTGAAGGTAAATCCACATTTGATATGTGGGAGGCTTTTAAAGAGAGGTTGATTAGAGGGCAGGACAGACATGTCCCTGTGAAAATGAGGGATAGAAAAGGCAATATTAGGGAACTATGGATGACAGGTAAAATTGTGAGACTAGCAAAGAGGAAAAAGGAAAATCTAGGTGACTGAAAACAGACGAAGCTTTGGAAGAATATCGGGAAAGTAGGACCAATCTGAAATGAGGAATTAAGAGGGCTAAAAGGGGTCATGAAATATCTTTAGCTAACAGGGTTAAGGAAAATCCCAAGTTGTGCGAGGAGTCAGAGAAAATGAGTGAGATTCTTAATGAGAACTTTGTGTCGGTATTCACCGAGGAGAGGGACATGATGGATGTTGAGGTTAGGGATAGATGTTTGATTACTCTAGGTCAAGTCAGCATAATAAGGGGGGAAGTTTTGGGTATTCTAAAAGGCATTAGGGTGGACAAGTCCCCAGGTCCAGATGGGATCTATCCCAGGTTACTGAGGGAAGTGAGAGAGGAAATAGCTGGGGCCTTAACAGATAGCTTTGCAGCATCCTTGAACATGGGTGAGGTGCCGGAGGACTGGAGAATTGCTAATGTTGTCCCCTTGTTTAAGAAGGGTAGCAAGGATAATCCAGGTAATTATGGACCGGTGAACCTGACTTCAGTAGTGGGGAAGCTGCTGGAGAAGATACTGAGGGATAGGAGCTGTTTATATTTGGAAGAAAATGGGCTTATTAGTGATAGGCAGCATGGTTTTGTGCAGGGAAGGTCATGTCTTACCAACTTGATAGAATTCTTTGAGGAAGTGACAAAGTTGATAGATGAGGGAAGGGCTGTAGATGTCATATACATGGACTTCAGTAAGGCATTTGATAAGGTTGCCCATGGTAGGCAGATGGAGAAATTGAAGTCGCATAGGGTCCAGCGTGTACTAGCTAGATGGATAGAGAACTGGCTGGGCAACAGAAGACAGAGGGTTGTAGTGGAAAGGAGTTTCTCAAAATGGAGAACTGTGACCAGCGGTGTTCCACAGGGATCCGTGTTGGGACCACTGTTTTTTGTGATATGCATAAATGATCTGGAGGAAGGTATAGATGGTCTGATTAGCAAGTTTGCAGATGACACTAAGATTGGTGGAGTAGCAGATAGAGAAGGGGACTGTCAGAGAATGCAGCAGAATATAGATAGATTGGAGAGTTGGGCGGAGAAATGGCAGATGGAGTTCAATCCAAGCAAATGCGAGGTGATGCATTTTGGAAGATCCAATTCAAGAGCGAACTATACGGTAAATGGAAAAGCCCTGGGGAAAATTGATGCACAGAGAGATCTGGGTGTTCAGGTCCATTGTACCCTGGAAGTGGCAACGCAGGTCGATAGAGTGGTCAAGAAGGCATACGGCATGCTTTCATTCATTGGACGGGCTATTGAGTACAAGAGTTGGCAGGTCATGTTGCAGTTGTATAGGACTTTGGTTCGACCACATTTGGAAGACTGCGTACAGTTCTGGTCGCCATATTACCAAAAGGATGTGGATGCTTTGGAGAGGATGCAGAGGAGGTTTACCAGGATGTTGCCTGGTATGGAGGGTGCTAGCTATGAAGAGAGGTTGAGTAGATTAGGATTATTTACATTAGAAAGACGGAGGTTGAGGGGGGACCTGATTGAGGTCTACAAAATCATGAGAGGTATAGACAGGGTGGATAGCAAGAAGCTTTTTCCCAGAGTGGGGAACTCAGTTACTAGGGGTCACGATTTCAAGGTGAGAGGGGAAAAGTTTAAGGGAGATATGTGTGGAAAGTTCTTTACGCAGAAGGTGGTGGGTGCCTGGAATGTGTTGCTGGCGGAGGTGGTTGAGGCGGGCATGATAGCGTCATTTAAGATGTATCTGGACAGATACATGAAAGGGCAGGGAGCAGAGGGATACAGATCCTTGGAAAATAGGCAACAGGTTTAGATAGAGGATCTGGATCGGCGCAGGCTTGGAGGGCCGAAGGGCCTGTTCCTGTGCTGTAATTTTCTTTGTTCTTTCTTTGTTCTTTATATTAGGAACAAGAAGGTAGCCAGGAAAAAGGTTGGTTCACTCAAGGACAAAGGATGGAATTTGTCCATGGAGCCAGAGGAAGAGGGTGAAGTCCTTAATGAGTACTTCGTATTGGTATTCATCAAGGAGAAACACATTGGAACACAGTAAGATGAGACAGCAGATTGCTGATACTCTAAGGCATGTCAATATTCAAGAGGAGGCAGAATTTGATACCTTGAAAAACATTAAGGTAGACAAGTCCCCATCAGCTCATGGAATCTATCCCAGGATATTTTGGGAGGCAAGGGAGAAAATAGCTGGGACCTTAACAGATATCTCTGCATTCTCTTTGGCCTCAGACAAGGTCCCAGATGACTGTAGAATAGCTAATATTGTTCCTTTGTTTGCGAAGGGCGCCAGGGATAATTTGGAAATTATAGGCCACTGAGCTGTACATCAGTGATTGGGAAATTGCTGGAGAAGATTCTTAGGCACAAGATTTACTTGCATTTGGGAAAAATTGACTTATTGCAAATAGCATGACTTTGTGTGGGGGAGGTCTTGTCTCATGAATTTGAGTTTTTTGAGGAAGTGATGAAGACGAGGGTAGGGCAGTGCATGTTGTCTACTTAGGCTTTACTAAAGCATTTGACAGTGTCATTCATGGTAGGCTGGTCTAGAAAATAAAGTTGGATACAAAACTGGCTTGGCCATAGAGAACAGAGGGTAGTTGTGGAGGGGTGTTTTTCTGACTGGATGTCTGAGGTGCAAAATAGTTAAACATAAATATTTTATTGGACATTTTACATTGAGTGGCCAACAGAAACTATAAGCATGTAAAATCCAATAAAAAACCTTTCAAATTAATATCTCAGGATTACTAGGATATTGATAGGCAGAGCCATTACTGATTAGCAATGATCAGAATGTGCAGATACTTACAGTAATCCTTTATCTGAACATCCTGGAATTCTATTTTGGGCATTTGCATTCTCTCTGTAGCATTTTGCACCTTGTCATTCAGCTCCAACTCAAAAACTTCTAAAGGGGGAAGGAAAGATTTAATTAGTTCTTAAGTTTTTTTTTGTTTAATTTAGCTTGCATTGCATTTTTGAGGAGCAACTATATTGTCCGGATGTGAAACACATCCCACTGACATTCCTTGCTGATTGTTATTGTGCATGAAGTGTAGATTCATCTGTAACATCTTGTGAGATTCTATGAACTCCCAAACACTCACCTTCTCGACTCTTCTCATGGTGTGTAGATTTTATATATTAACAATATACATAGGTGTATATATATAGTGTATACAGAAACAAAAATCAAAACAAAGTAAAACACTTTTGAACAAATTAATGAAAATGCAAATGGTTTCAATGACTATTTTTCATTAAATGCAAGAAAATCTTGAAACATTTGAAATAATTGGTCTGTTATTGACTTTACGGTGCTTTATAAGACTTGAGATTATGAAAAGTGCCTAATAAATGCAAGTCTTCCTTTCTTTCTCGGGTTAAGATGCATGATCTGGCAGGTATCATTGCAAAGCGATTCTCAATTTCTTGCAAATTGCATGGGGCACAGTAAACATATTGGGTGGAATCTTATAGAGGTCTGAGTAACATGGCTTATGTCAAGAATCAAACAACAAATCTGCCAAACCCATCTCAATGTCGACATCATCTCATTCCATCTTTTCTGCTTTTCACAAGCAAGTTGAAGAGATTCTTAATAGATACCATTGAGATGCCATAATTGTCATAAACACTTTTTTAATGGCACAACTCACCTCATTTCTGATTGGAATATTTTTATTGGCAACAATAGCATAAAGCCTTTGATTTTGTAATACAGATTAAGCTGTATACCCTCTTGTGATGTGTACAGTTCCCTTATATGTATGAATAAACATTTAAGCTAAAAAAATCCTCAGAATTGTCTCGTCTAAAAAGGGAATAAAGTGTTAAAACCCTCTTTCAATAAGACCCCCTTATGTCCATGCTGTTATCAAGCATGCATAGGCTCCTAAACATTATCAATTTACTGCTACCCAAATTATGTACCATTTGAGTCAGGATGATGCAGCAGAGAACGAGGCCATCCGATCTGTTGTGACTATTCTGGCTCTTTGAAAAAAGTTATCTAATTTCATCCTACAGCTCGTTCTCCACAGTATTTATCCAATTCTCCTTTGACTTTTATTGAAATTCCGTTCACTGACTTTTCAGGCATTGCATTTCAGATTGCAAAAACTTGCTGCCTAATAACATTATTTCTCACGTCTGAACAGGTCAATTAAAGGAGAACTGGCTTCTTCACTGCTTTGTTCATTGGGAGAATTGATAAATTGGTATTGGGTTTATTTTACAAACAAAAAAGGGCTGGCTCTGAGTGTGCAGTGCTTGTAATTTGTTCACTGAGCATTTGGTAAATTTGCTGATGGGTTTATTCATTGCGAGGGGTGTTCTTTAGGTCACAATCTTTGACTACCTATCCCTGGTCCGCGGTTACATCTGTGCCCGGATCTCCTTTGAGGGGGAGTATGCAGTGTCCACTGGTAGCCTTTTGAGATAGATGGGCACCACAGGGGCTGGAATGCAATACCTCCCCTTCCAAAGCCATTTTTATTTAGTCACCCCTTTTTATTTCCTCCTTTTTTGATATTTTTGTTCCTGTTGCCCCTGCTCTGTGTTTATTAATTGGATGGTTTGGGTAATTGGTGGTGCGTTTCTTTATAACAAACTGGAACTGGGTTCTCCCCCAATGGGGGATTGGCTTCTGGACAGGGAAAGGCTCCAGAAGGGAAAGGTGGAAGCTGGTGTTTGTGCTAAACCACTGATTTACAATAAATCCCTTGGAGAATTAAGTGGCTGCAGCGTTGCTGACACCTGCAGAGAGGTGCTCCCTGCTGACATTTTCGGAAAAATCCTGTCACTTTATTGAGCAGCCAATGTGCTTGCTTCAAACACCAAATGCAAACAAGTCATTGGTTTCTCCATTAGCAAGACTGACCCATCTGTGCAGTACCTCTTACGATATTCCCATCTAAGAATCTGGAGCCAGAGTAAGCCATTTGGCCCCTTTCTATGGCCTCTAACATTTCAAATGTGAGACACGTTCAAGTCTCCCTAAAGTCTCACCCCCATTTTCTCCTCTGCTCTTTCACGAGGTGTGTCACATCTATGAAACATTTCAGGTTGTTAAAAAAACACCAAATTCAACTATAACTGGAGCTCTGAGAAGCAGAGGGTTCTGGGCATCTTAGTGCATGAGTTGTAAAACATTACTACACTCAATGCAGATGCAGCAAGTGATTACAAAAACATATAGATTAGCCAGTGTATTCTGACATTGGCAATATGTATGCACAGAATTCCAGAACCTTGCACAGATTTTACGCGGATACAATCCATACATTTTCAGGCAGGCCTGACATCATCACGTAGAATTCCAGTGACATGTGCAAAGGAACTGCATATTTGCAGAAAAGCAGCAAAAAACTGAAGTGGAGTTTCATAGGGTGGAATAAGGATAAGAGAGAATGAGGGGGAATTGAGAGATGAAGTGGGGCAGAGAAGTGAGCAGTGATGGGGTCTGGTGATGGGGTCAAGGGGAAAATGATTCTTGGGGGGGGTGGAGAGAAGGGACCACCACATCTTCCTCCTCTCTCCATCATAGACTCCCTCCTCCTCACTACTATCTGCCTTCACCATACAGCATCCCTTCCCCCCTTCACAACCTCCCTCTCTCCCCTGTTACTGTCCACATCTCATAGAAACATGGAAATATAGAAAATGTGAGCAGGAGGAGGCTATTCTGCCCTTCTGGCCTGCTCTGCCATACATTATGATCATGGCTGGTCATGCAACTCCATAGCCTGTTCCAGCCTTTTCCCCAGATCCTTTGAACACTTTAGCCCAAGTGTTATATCTAACTCCTTCTTGAAACCATACAACATTGCAGAATTAATTTCTCTCTGTGGTAGGGAATTCCACACATGCACTACTGTCTGGGTGAAGAAATATCTCCTCATCTCAGTCCTAAATGTCCCAGCTGGTCTCATTAATCAGTGGCCCCTGGTTCTGGACTCTTCTGCCATCAGGAACGTCCTTTCTGCATCTACCATGTCAGTTCTCTTAGAATTTTATAGGTTTCCCTGAGATTCTTCACGGAAATCAAGGGCTGGATCTATGAGCATTCCTATTGCAAACTGCTGTTGGAAACCAAGGGCTCGATTCCCACTGCAAATTGCTGCTGAAAAGCAACAGCTAGAAATATTGAGGATGCTGCACTGACCTGATATCTCATTGGTGCTAATTGCTCATTTCCCCTTCTATCATAATGTAATACTATGCTGCGATCTCAGTTTATCCATCCCAATCCTGCACTTTATCTGGACAGGTCTGGAACAGCAGGGGAAGGGTTCAGGGTTGTGGAGGGTGAAGAGTATGGCAAGTGGAAATCTTCTCTTCCAATGATTATCTTTGGTGTCAGTCATGGTTCTCATGAGGTAGTTATATTGTGCACTGAGTCCGAAGGTCTCTGATTTAATTTCTTCTCAGTAGAAACCGAAAGGACTGCGGACGTTGTAAATCAGAAAAAAAAACAGAAGTTGCTGGAAAAGCTCAGCAGGTCTGGCAGCATCTGTGAAGGAAAAAATCAGAGTTAACGTTTCAGGTCCGGTGACCCTTCCTCGGAACCCAAAACGTTAACAGTGATTTTTTTCTTCACAGATGCTGCCAGACCTGCTGAGCTTTACCAGCAATTTCTGTTTTTGTTCCTTCTCTGTAGACTTGGACACTTAATCCAGCCTGATACCAGGTGGTGATATTAATGAATGCTGCATTCGTTGGATCACATGTTTGTTGATGAGAAACAAGGCCCAATTGCTTTCTCAATAGGACACGAGACACCCTATGGCACCATATTGAGGAGTGGGCATGTTCTTCATTTGCACTGGTCAAAATTTATCCCTTAATCAAAAGGAAATCAGATTGCCTGGTTATTATTACGTTGCTCCATGTGGGAACTTGCTGCGTGAATACTGGACACTACTCTTCCTTAAATGACAAAACTTGAGTAAACTCTTTCTGTATAACCCATCCAGACACACTGCACACAAACTGGGTTCTGAGAAAGGGTCATTGGACCCAAAAGGTTATCTCTGATTCCATTCCACACATGTTGCGAGACCTGCTGAGCTTTCAAGGCAATTCCTGTTTCTGATTCGGACGCAGTGCACTCCATGTAATTAACTCTGTACACACACACTGCACTCTGTGTAATTAACCCTGTTCACACACACTGCATTCCATGTAATTAACCCTGTACACACACACTGCACTCCGTGTAATTAACCCTGTA